CCCTTGGGGCTAGCTTTTTTAAGTCCCAATAGTACGGACTGTCCCGCTGACCGAACCACTGGAGAACGGAAGATTTGTTTCACTTACCGTGAAGCTTCCTTTCTCGGTGGTTCGGCAGCGGGACAGTCCGGCCCGCCCGGTTGCGTGGGGGTTTTCTGTCAGACGGGAGTGTGGAGTCTGGTGCAAGACATTGGTGGGGAAACCTGACTGCATGTATTGTTGGAGGTGTCTCGGGGGACAACTGATGTGAATTGTGTCCACTGGGACGTCCATGGTTAATTCTGTGTGTTCAATAAAGTTATGGTTTAACTTACGTTTGGAGTTCTTTTCTGTGGGAGAGGTGGTCTTCCTGTTACCTTTCAGATGAGGTGTGGGCTCGTGTATGACCTGGGGAAGCACAGGAGGATAAGCCCTGCCTCACAGGAATCAAAGTCTGGAGCCGACCCTGCAGGAAGGGGGCGGAGCTTATCCCAATAGTACGGACTGTCCCGCTGCCGAACCACCGAGAAAGGAAGCTTCACGGTAAGTGAAACAAATCTTCCGTTTTTTGTCATCTTCTGGGTGTGGAACAGCAGTCACTGTGGGTGTGGAGGGGGAGGTATTTGTGTATTTCCTGCACTGTGCAGGAAGTTGGGCTAGATGACCCTGGAGGTCCCTTCCAACTCTATGATTCTATGATAATTACATTGGTTTGGAGCCAGTGCAAAAACCATGTGAAGATCACATCTCCCAATAGCAGCCATTTCTGACCCTGAAACGTTTATTTGCACAGCTGCAGGACCCATGTGGCTAATAGCCATCTAAGTCAGGAAGCTGCAGTGAGATGTAGGAGGTGAAATTGTTTTTCCTGTTTCCCTCTTCACTGCAGTTCCACTTGTGGAAGTTAAAGAAGAGGGCAATTTTGCCCCCTTCCCCCTCTCCCTCCTCTCCACTGCGTCTTCTTGACACACACAGCTGGAGATTCCTGGAGACTTCGGAGTGGACCCTGTGGAGAGCAGGTTTGATAGGGGAGGAACCTCACCAAGGTATAATGTGATAGACTTCAACCTCCATCAGCAGCTATTTTCTCCACAGGAACTGATTTCTGCCATCTGGAGAAAAGCTGTAACTCCAGGAGATGGTTGGATCAGAAATGGCTGCTGAGGGAGGCTGAAGGTGGGAATATCAGTGACTGTCAGATCAAAGGATTCAATCCATTGTCTAGAGATGGGATTTTTTTGTGAATTGTAGACATGCATTCATTCATTCATTCATTCATTTTACCCTGCTTTTCTATGTCTCCCAAGGGCAGAAATGCAAAAGGGCAAAAGAAACAAATGACAACAAATGCAGGACTTTTGAGGGGATAGTATAATTTGATAGTAGAAAGGGGGAAAGACCAATGGTCATGCTTTTTCCAATGCAGATCTTTTCATATGAAAAATACGACCATCCGAGGGAAAACCTTGAGTTTTCCCTCGGATGACCGTGGCCCCGCCCCCAGCATGCCCGGCGTGGTCACGTCACTTCTGGGTGACGCGCACGTCAGGGTGGGGCTCCCCCCGGGGCCCGATCCACTGGCGGCGGGGAACAGGCCCCCCCGGGGGGACTTGGCAAGCCTATGCTGGCTCTGCATGCAGGCTTAGTTGGTCAGTCTTTACATTCATTGCAGACACATGTCAATAGCCATTTCTGAATCAATCAATTGCACTCTTAAGAATACTGAAATAATCCTGCCACAGCCACTGCCAAAACTAAATAATAAAATCTAAATACTGCACTGTTCTGGATAGTTGCTAATGAAACTATAATGTACTTCAGTTCCCTTTTCCCCAAACCAGAATGGCAGTGAACTCCAACCAACTCTGCAATGGGCTAAGAATGTACAATCAATCCTGCTGGATCAGCCCATCTTGTCCAGCATCCTGTTTCACAAAGTGAACATCCAGATGCCTCCAGAAGACCTATAATCAGAGTGTGGAGGCCAAAGCCTCCCCCTGTTGTTTTTAACCCCCAAATGTTGGCAGCAAGGAAAACCTGACATGAAAAAGGGATACAGGCATTGTGTCCCAGCAGCCTGGGGGTCTGACAGAAGCAATACTGGTGGGAGGAATTTCTGCAGACACACACCCATAGTCATCTAACCCATTCCATGGAAGTGCTCTATTGTCATGATGCTCAGTGGGATTGCTCCAGAACAATGCTTTGAGGATTTCAGCCTGAAACCCTTTTTGATTGCAATCCTAAAATGCTATAGGTTGCAATACTGATTCCTGGAAGTAAATCCCAGTGAATAAAATGGGTCATATTTCCAAATAGCTGTGTTTAGCACTGCTCCCTTAGAGGGCAATCCTATGCAGAGTTACTCCAGGAACATTGTTTGCTCATTCAGCTCAGTTACATAAAACCCTTCTCATCCATTAAATAAATGGCTGTAAAAACCTATTGATCTGGCTATGAATTGTGCAATGCAGCCTGGGCTTTCTGAAGTGTACAATCAAATGAGTCTTATTCGTTGTATTGTCTTCTCTGAACTAATTCTGACTTTACAACAGCACAGCGGCATGCTAAACCTGGCTCTGGGAATGAAAACTTTATCACATAAAGGGAGAATCATATCAAAATCTATGGACCTGAAACTGTAATATGAAGAAATATTTCAATATCAGTGAGGCAGATCTGGTACTATGAGAGTACATTACATTAAAATTGATTTTTTTAAGAGAGTCTTTGTCAATCCTCAGACCATTTCCCAGAGGGGGGGAAACAATGGGGGAAGGATTTCACCTTGAGGAAACTCAAGCCTTTCCCCTAAATATTTACGACTTAAAGTAGCAGACACAGATTGAAATCTACTTAAATAAATCCTTATCCCCATTACTGTTTATATGGATTTTGGAAGTATTGCTGGGGAGGATAAGAGAAGATAAGGATATAAAAGGCTTGAATATCAAAGGCTATTCATATAAATATAGAGCGTTTGCAGATGACGTGATGTTTTTAATTGAAAACCCAAATGATAATCTGCCGCCACTGATGCAACGAATAAAGGACTTTGGAGACTTAGCAGGATTTTACGTAAACAAGAATAAGACAAAGGTGCTATGCAAAAATATGACAAAAGAGAAGCAAGTTAAACTGAAAGAACAACTACAATGTGAAGTGGTTAAGAAGGTGAAATATCTGGGAATCGATCTGACAATGAAAAATTTAGATCTTTACAAGAACAATTATGAGAAACTTTGGGCAAAAATTCAACAAGATCTAAAAAAATGGGACACTATGAATTTGTCATTGTTGGGAAGAATATCGGTAGTTAAGATGAACGTTTTGCCTTGTTTGATGTTTTTGTTTCAAACCATTCTGATATTGAAAGAAATAAAGGTGTTAAATCAGTGGCAAAAGGAGATTTCGAAGTTTGAATGGGCAGGAAGAAAACCGAGAATTAAAATGAAAATTCTTTGTGATGCAAAAGAAAGAGGAGGTTTCCAGTTACCGAATATAAGACTTTAACTATGAAGCGATTTGCTTTACTTGGGCCCCGTTCATACGAGCCCATTTGGGACGGGAGCGGGACGGAACAGGGGCGGAGCAAACGGACGCGATCCCACCTCAACATCTGGGGAGCGTGCCGTCTCCGTCCCTGATCCGGCCCAAATGGCGATACCCCGCTGCAAAAACGAACCACCTATCTAGGTGGTTGCAGCCGTCTGGAGCGCCCCAAGCCGGCCGTGGGATCGGCGGCGCGTCCTTGCGCCTGTACCTGCAGAAGTAATCACACCATATTCAAGATGTAAAGGCGAAGATTGGTTGCCGTATAAAGACATTTTGAAAAAAGAAGGGAAAGACTTTGTGATGAGAAAAAGGGAAGAACTAGACTTCGAATATGATTGGTTAAATTATGCACAGATTGTAGACTTATTTAGATCTGATTAAAAAAGGTATGGCTTTAGGGAGGAAAAAAATGAAATTGAAGCGGTGTGGGAGGTAAAAGGGAAAAAAATGATATCAAATTTTTGTAAGGTTTTGTTAAAATGGTTTACAGAAGACGAATTAGTAAAAGAACAAATACTTAAATGGGCTGTAAATATGAATAAGGAGGTGACTATGTCATTTTTGGAATATTTATGGAAAAATTCAATTAAGATATCCACGTGTACCAATGTTAAAGAAAATTGTTATAAAATGATGTATAGGTGGTATATGACTCCAAAAAAGATAGCAATTATGAATGAAAATATGTCTAACAAATATTGGAAATGTAAAAAAATGAAGGCTCTTTTTATCATATGTGGTGGACTTGTGATAAAGCTGTGACTTTTGGGACAGAGGTGCATGAGGAGCTGCAAAAAATTTTGAAATGTACTTTTAAAAAAGAACCGGAGATACTACTTCTAGGTTTAAAGATGGAAGAAGTAAATGTAGCAAAAACCCTCTGTTGTGGTATTTAATCACCACTGCGAGAATGACATATGCGCAATTTTGGAAGCAAGACAAAATACCTGACAAATGGGAATGGATACGGAAAGTTTTGTTTATGGCTGAAATGGATAGACTAACAAAAAAAATGAACAACAAAGAAGATAAAGACTTTTTTGAAGAATGGAAGGACTTTAAAGAATATTTAGAAAATAACTGGGATGTTAAAAATAATTTACTGTGTTTAGAGAACTATTAAGGGTTGAAATATTGAAACGTTTGAATTATATAAAATAAGATTGTTACCTTGAAACGTGAAATGAAAATGGGAAAGAAAAAGGGAATTATATTATGTGTGGGTAGGGAGAAGCATTGCGGGAAGCCATTATATGGGGGGGGGGAGATAAGAGAAATGGATTTGGAATTATGGGAATGTAACTAAATGTTGAATATGTTATATCCAAAATAAAAGTTTTTGAAAAAAAAGAAAAGAAATCTACTTAAATAAATCAATACAACTTAGTAAGAATTCCAGAATCAAGAGTTGTATTACACAGTTGTCAGGTTGCAACCAAGTTGTTCATATAGTAGCTATAAAAATACCAGCAGAAGCAGGAGAGACAGTAGTGACACCTTCTCTCATCCTTTCCTTTCTCAGACCTTTTGTCTATCTCTCTTCAGTGTCTTCTAAAGTGGCCCAAACAAGGTATCTCACTGGAGTTCTGTGACTGAAATTCCAGACATTCAATTCTGATACGAAAAAAGCTGACTTAGGGCCCCTCCAGTCTCACTGGGCCTGTCATGCTGTTCCCTGAGGGCAGGGTGTAATTTTTCCTTCTTGCACTATTTCCCTGATTGAAAATGCCCCAGGTGTTTTAAGCCCCAGTATGGGGGAAACAACAAGCACAATATAACACCTGTCACTTTTTCTCCCAGTGGAATATTGAAACAGCAGGTAACAGCCCCACACCCACCTGTGCTGAGGCCCTAGATGCCCCTCTCCCATAGCTGCTTTTAAAGGCCAGATTATATGCCTGGTCTGGAGCTGCCAATCTCCAGGTGGCAGCTGGAATTCTCCCAGAGTTACAACTGGTCTCCAGATGACAGAGATCGGTTGCCTTGGAGAAAAGGGCTTACTTGGAAGGTGGCGTATATGGCATTATACCCTCTGAGGTCTCTCCCATCTTCAAGATTTACACCTCAAATCTCCAGGAATCTCCCAACCCAGAGCTGGCAACCCTAGTCTGGCCTTCTAGTCATCAAAGAACTCCAGCGTCAAATACAGTTGGTCCTTTAATGGCTGGTTTTAAAGAGACACAGTGAATCTGCAAAAGGCGATTTAAGAGGGTTGCCAGGTCCCCCCTGGCCACTGGTGGGGGATGGTGGGGTAGGGTTGCCAGCTGTGGGTTTGGAAATTCCTGGAGATTTGAGGATGGAGCCTGGAGAGGACAGGGACCTTAGTGGGGTACAATGCCATAGAGTCTGCCCTCCAAAGCAGCCATTTTCTCCATGGGAACTGATCTCTGTAGTGTAGAGAAGAGCTGTAATTCTGGGGGATCCCCAGGCCCCATGTGGAGACTGGGATCCCTACGATCAAGCTACTCTAACCATACAGGGTCCAACAATCCTAAAACTCATTGGGGTGTACCTTAGTGGCAGTGAAGACGGTTTCACAGTATCCCTTAGCTACACATGTTACTGCTCAGAAGTTCATATAGTGGAAAGGTCTGCTGCTGTGTGCCACACACACACACACACCACCTCCCCAGCCTTTTAAATGTCTTCTTTTCCATTTCCCTGCTGAGCCATGCTATCTCATTATAGGGTGCCTCCATAAGGAAAGAGAAAGGGAGGGGAGAGGGGAGTTCCAATACCTGGGGAAGGGGCAACAGTTTCGGTGAGCAGCTTTGGAATAGGTATGTGTAGACACCATTTCTACCTGTTCCTTGCTGCTGCCATTGAAATGACCTATCTTCATTCCCCTCTCTAGAAGCAGCCAGCATCGCATATTAGATCCATGTTTTCTTGTCATGTTCTTTTTGACCATGCAAATGTCATTTCCATAGTTGCCTTTCAATTGTTTATAAACTTAGCTCATCTCTGGCTAAAACTTTTTTTTCTGGGTTGACAATTTTTGTGCAAGTTCAAACTTTTCCGTTCAACAGAAATCCAGGTATACTGTGTATAATCACAGGTCACCATAATATATATTAGCACTGTATTACAAAGTACAAATAAATATTCAAACAAAATGCAAATTAATTTGAAAACAGAGATAGAGCAACCAGGTTAAAATATAGCACTTGTCAGATGATCATGTTTCTCATTTCTACATTTCTATCATATTTATTCTTTTTATTTCCTATATGCCTAAAACATGTCACTCCCCACCCACAGATGCAGTCAATCTTTTATCTGAAATTTAACATGTTAAATAAAGAAATATTCCTATTATTACTTTGAACACATAGTTCACATTTTGTAACAACTTGCAGTTTTACTGAAAATGCCTCCACGTTTTCCATTGTTGTGCTGTCTAGCTTTCTGTCTGTATATTTTGCAACTTTTTGCACTGGAATTTTCATTAATATATTTTTCTCTCTTTAAAAAAAAAGCTGTTTTCATCCCAATGGCAAAACTGATTAGCAAATTATTCTTTGGAAATCTGTTAAGTTTGGAAAACTGGTCAGCAATATTTAGCATGTGTATGGCGCTACCATTGCGTTCAGACATTTCATATAAATTAACTTGTTGGAATTCCTGTAAGGAAAGCTATTATTCCCATACTGTACATAGAAGAATGAGAGAAAATGTTGCTCCTAAGCTCAGGGGTTCTCAAAATGTTTAACTTGGGGCCCTTTCTAAACTTCCTACCTTTTGGAATCCACTGCTGAAGTCTAGAGCTTGACTCAGACCCAGCTGTCCCAGGGGCAAGTTCGGGCCGTAATACTGGGTAGACTACATTTATTTATTTATTTATTTATTTATTTATTTATTTAATTTATTATTTATTTATTTATTTAAGAGAATAAGCTCTTATCAATCCAAGATGGGGTTCCATTAACCAGCATAACCCATCAGCATAAGTTCCGGATAGTACTGTTGTCCTTTCATAGCCAGTTCTTCAGGTCGTCTGGTCATCTTGCCAGGGCCAGCTCACATCCTCGTGGAATCCACCGTCAAAGATGGAAACTCGGTGGTGGTACAGTAGCGGTGGCGGCTCCTATGCGAAAGCCTGACAGAAGAGCTCAGTCTTACAGGCCCTGCGGAACTGCATAAGGTCCCACAGGGCCCAAATCTCCTCCGAGAGCTCATTCCACCAGATAGGAGCCACCACCGAAAAGGCCCTGGCCCTGGTTGCAGCCACCTTGATGTCCTTGGGGCCTGGAATAACCAAAATATGTTCTGCCCCTGATCGTAGTGCTCTTGGGGGAACATATGGGGAAAGGCGGTCCCTTAGGTAAGCTGGACCCTGGCCATCAAGAGCTTTATAGGTAAGAACCAGCACTTTGAAGCGAATCCGGTACGCTATAGGCAGTCAGTGCAGTGCCTTCAGCATCGGCTGGACGTGGTCCCACCTAGTGAGACCCATCAACAGCCTAGCTGCCGCATTCTGCACTAGCTGCAGCTTCCAGATTTGTGACAGAGGCAGCCCCATGTAGAGAGCGTTACAGTAGTCCAACCTCAAGGTGACCGTCACATGGATCACTGTGGCTGAAGATAGTAAAAGGCTGACTTGACAGTGGCTTCCACCTGGGCCTCCATCGTTAAAAAGGAGTCCAGAAGCACTCCCAGACTCCTAACCCTCGACACCAGCATCAGAGGCGCCCCATCGAAGGCCGGGAGGGAAGCCCCAACCCCGAACTGACCCAATTTAGGCCCAGGACCTCCATCTTTGCCGGGTTTAGTTTCAGCCGACTCAGTCTGAGCCAACCAGCCACAGCTTGCAGTGCCTGATGAAGGTCATCTGGGTCAGAGTTCGACCGGCAACCTAGCATCAGATAGAACTGGGTGTCATCTGCATATTGATGACACCCAAGCCTATATCTTCGGGCAATCTGGGCAAGGGGGCGCATATAGATGTTAAATAACATCGGGGACAGTACTGCCCCCTGAGGCACCCCACATTCAAGAGGATGCCTCTGGGACCGCTGATCCCCTATCGCCACCCTTTGTCCCTGACCTTGAAGGAAAGTGGCAAACCATTGAAGGGCAAGCCCCTGAATCCCCACATCGGTGAGGTGGTGGGCCAGCAGCTGATGGTTGACCATATTGAACGCAGCCGACAGATCTAACAACAGCAATGCTGCCACATCACCTCGATCCAGATGCCTACGGAGGTCGTCAGTCAGGGCCACCAATGCCGTCTCTGTCCCATGACCCAGGCGAAAGACGGACTGGAAGGGATCTAGGACCAAAGCATCCTCCAGAAAGCCCTGTAGCTGTAGTGCCACCACCCTCTCCATAAGTTTGCCCAAATAGGGCAAATTGGACCCCGGCCGATAGTTAGCCAATTCGGTCGGGTCCAAATATGGCTTTTTTAAGAGGGGGCAGATCATCGCCTCCTTGAGTGCTCCGGGGAACTGTCCCTCCAAGAGGGACTTGTTAATAATCTCCTGCAGAGCACCTCGAAACCCCTCGTGACCCGCTTTAATGAGCCAGGAGGGGCACGGATCAAGGTCGCATGTGGTTGGGCACACAGATACGAGCAATCTGTCAACTTCGTCCAGGCTGAGTGGGCTAAAACACTCTAAACCCGGAACCGAAGGCACGTGAGGGGCATCGAGTTCGTGCACTGTCTCAATTGTAGTGGGGAGGTCGCGGTGGAGCATCAAGACTTTATCTGCGAAATAGCTCGCAAAAGCCTCACAGCCTATATCCAATTCCCTATTGTTTCGCCTGCCCTGAGGCAGGTCTGTCAGCGACTGAATGATACTAAATAATTGGGCCGGGTGTGAGCTAGCAGATGCAATCGAGGCTTCATAGAAATCTTTCTTAGCAGCCTTGACTGCCATCTCATAGGATCTCATAAGCGTCCTATAAGATGCTCTTGACACCTCGTCACGAACATGGCGCCACTGTCTCTCTAGTCATCTCAGCTCGTTTCAGCTGCCGCAATTCCTGGATATACCAGGGTGCATGCCTAGAGCGAGTGCAGAGAGGATGCCTGGGAGTGATCTTGTCAATGGCTGTGGAGAGCCAAACATGCCAGTTCTCCACTAACTCATCCAATGAGCCGCCAGGAGGCCTCGGATCCCGTAGAGCCATCTGGAGCTGCAACGGGTCCATTTGACTCCGCGGGCAAGCATAAATCTGCTCACCGCCCACATAGGGTAGGGATGGCACATTCAGATGGGCCTTCAAGGCCAGGTGGTCCAACCATGGCACTGCCTCAGCAGTGATCTGGTCCACCGTCACCCCCGCTGCAAAGATCAAATCGAGCATGTGACTGGCCCGATGTGTGGGGGCCGATACAAATTGCAAGAGTCCCAGCGCCACCATGGATGACATTAGGTCCGTAGCCCATCTGGAGGCCACATCCTTGGCATGGACATTGAAATCACCCAAGACAATCAGTCTAGGGTGGTCCAACGCCCAGCCTGATACAGCCTCCAGCAGGGATGGCAGGCTATTGGCCAGTGCATTAGGCAATCGGTACACCAGCCAAATCGCTAAACTATCCTCAGCTTCCAGCATCACGCCGACACACTCTAAGCCCGCAATCTCTACACATGGGAGCGCCTTGAAGGAGTAAGCTTCCCGAATGAAAAGAGCCACTCCTCCCCCCCACCCTCAGTTTGTGATTGGTGAAGGACCAAGTATCCCGGTGGGGCAAGTTGGGTGAGAGCCACCATCTCTCCCTCCCTTACCCAGGTCTCAGTCACGCACACCAGGTCCACTTGTTGTTCAATCACAAATTCCTGAAGGATTGTGGTTTTGTTGTTAACGGAACTGGCGTTGCACAATACCAATGACGGAGGGGGGGTTCCTATCCTGGCCCCACTGCCAGCTACCCTTGGGATGGGCCGTAGGCTGGAAGGGCGCCGAGCCATTTTATTTCTCTGCGTCCTTCCCTTCCTATACTGCCTAGGCCCCTCCCCAAGAGCACCAGAATCTGCGGTTCAGATATATTTAAGTCGCATTGGCCATCTCCGTTATATTTCAGACCACCAATGCCAGAGATGACAGAAGGGTCCTCAACTGTTCCTGAAGCAACAGAATAAAACTTCACCGTTCCCTGCTACCAATATACAGAATGCTGCTAAACAAAACTAACAATGCTGGCAGTCTATGGAGCTTGTGACCGAAGTGCATGCTTTAAATAGAAAACAGATACATAACAAATGCATTGCCAGTGATCACACTACCAGCAATATGGAATGCTTTGGTATTTGGTCAATAATTCTATGGTGGAAGCCATTTTTACCATAGAGTTTTTGCCCAAATACCAGAGTATCCTGCATCCCCAGTGATGCAATGACATATCTTCTGTGTGCCACCAAACTGGACTAGACCTTCCCCTGCTGCTGATAAGACCCCCCATCAGCCAGCTGATCAGCAGTGGGGGGCAGGAACTGGGGTGGGGAATCCCCCACTCCCAGTGAAGTTTGGCAGCTCTAGACTATTCCCCCCACCTCCTGTACCAGGAAGGAATGGTGCTAGAAGACAAAGGAGGAGATGGGAAGGGTATCTGGTAGTTCTGATGCATTTTCTATTTTTCTTGTTTCTGAGAGGAGAGGGGGCCAACAGTCAAGAGCGTGAGCCTCATGTCCCATCTGAGAGTTTCATTCCTTATTTATTTATTTAAAATATTTATATGCTGCCTTTCCTCATGGCTCAAGACAGCTGACAAATCATAATTAAAATATGACAATTTAAAAACAAATAGCAATCCTCCCCCCAAAAAAACCCAGAAAGCTATACCTGCAGTTTATACCTCATTAAAAGCATTGGCAAATAAATGACCTTGTACCACCTCCTAACACCTTGTAAAGATGGTGCCCCTGCCTTCTCAGGGAGCCTGTTCCACAAAGTGGGAAATGCAATGGAGAAAAGTATGCTACCTTAAGTGGAGGAGTAGCTAGCAGGTGGCAGCCTGAGGACCATAGATGGTGCATGGGGATATATAGAAGGAGAAGGCCTTTTAGATATGCAGGTCCTAGGCCATGAAGGGCTTTAAAGGCCATAGCCAGCACCTTGGATAGAACTCAGAAACAAAATGGCAGCTAGTCTCAGACTAATAGGCAAGATATATTCCCATTGGCTAGTGCGTGACAATAATCAGGTCTAACCAACAACCCACAGTTTGAAACCGTCTACAGCCACAGGTAGGTTTTTTTTGCTTAGTAGAGTTCAAATAATGGGATCCTCTTCTCTATATTCCAGCTGTGGATGTGGTTCAACATATCAATATTATTTACCCTTCTTTTCAAAACATGTACCCAGGGCCGGCCCTATCACTAGGCCTGCTAGTATCTCACCTAGGGTGGAGATACTAGCAGGGCGTCAATTCCCCTGCCGCCCCCCCACCAAAAGCCCCCACCCTGCCCAAAGCTGCCCGCTGCTCCTTTTGCCACGGTGGCGGTGCAGGGGCAGCGCGCATGCTGCTCTGTGCTGGCCGCCGTGCACCCATGCCAGCTCCACCCACCCCCTTCCCATGTGCAAAAGCGCCCCGGGCACAGCAAGTCAAAGCGGACAGGGATGGGGCCGCCAGTGGTGGGGCGGCTTTGAGGGCTTGCTGGCGCTGCACAATTCTTGCTCACTGCTCTTGCGAGGAGATCCCATCACGGATCCCTTACGGGGTCTTAATACACTCTGGCCCCCTTTTTGTTTGTTTGTTTGTTTGACCTGGAGGTTCAAAGCTGTTGCTTTGAATGAAGCCAGGCGGACTCATCTCTGACCAAGTCTGAGGCACTCTGTTTCCAATCTATTTCTACCGAGCCTTCTTAACGCGCAAGCGTATTCTTGGCAGGCAGCCAGCTGACCAGGGAGGAGGGAGGGAGGGCTCAAGATGCCCAGGAGCCCCGGAATGATGGCACAGGCCCAAAAGGAGGCTCTGGCACCCTCCTACTCACTCGGCTTGCAGCTGCCTTGCGACTCCCGGGCCCCGAGGGACGCACTGCAGGATTTAATAAGGCTGCAGCGGCGATGTCGCAATCGTCCTCCTCCCAAATGAGTTGAGTGCTGCCTCCTCTCTCTTTCCCCTCTGCCTCCCTGCGGCAGCCTGAAAGAAGGTGGTGGCAAAGGGAGACCCAGAAAGTCAAACAGGAGAGAATTTGGCAGCCCAGCTTGCAATCTCTGCCTCCCTCTCCTTGGCGAGCTGGGCTGTGCGCGTGTGTGTCCTCGTGTGTGTGGGCGCCGTCCTGGAAAGTTGCGCTGTAGAGTCTCCTCACTAATGGGAACAGGATGATCCCATCCCTCCGGCCTCCTCCTTAGCAAAAAAGCCACCTTCTGCAGGCAGGCAGGCGGGCAGGTAGGAAGCGGCGATGAGGAACAGAGCCCTCTCTCGGCCGGCCCTGCTGCTGGGACCCAGCTGGGAGGCCTCCAGGCCCAACCGGGAGGTTGGCATCTGAAAGGGGTGCCACGAGGCAACCTGGCCTACAGCGCAGAAACCCCTCGGGCCGGCCCTGCATGTACCCTACAATGTCTAAGCAGTTAGCTAATGCTTGCCTATCCCAGTCTGCTTAGTGTTTCCACGCAGTCAAATGAATTACAATCAGGCAGATACTGGGCAAGAAGATTTGGTAACATGCATGGCTTATCATTACCAATGGATTATAAAAACAGAGACAAAGCTTCAGTGCTCATGATTTAGATGAAATGAGCCATTATTTCATGATCATCCATAAATTAACTGACAGGTCACAGCTGACAACAGGATTAATCTCTGTAGTATGTAAGGTTCCTCCTGTACTCCGCACCCAAGAAAAAATGAAGCATATCCTTCCTCACACAGAGTCTACAAATTACAAGGAATTGTTTTACATGAATTTAAGGATCACAATCCAGTAAGAGTGAAGCGGCTAAGCCAAAGCCGAAAGGACGCTCAGTTGTGGATGTGTCTGCTGGTGAAAGGAAAGTCCGATGCTGCAAAGAACAATACTGCATAGGAACCTGGAATGTAAGATCTATGAATCAAGGTAAGCTTGACATGGTCAAAAATGAGATGGCAAGACTGAACATCAATATCTTAGGAATCAGTGAATAAAGTGGACAGGAATGGGTGAATTTAATTCAGAAGACCATTACATTATTTCGTTTTATTTTTATTTATCCTTCCATTTGTATACCGCTCACCCCCGGAGGGCTCTGAGTGGTTCACATTACATACAACACAAGCCAATCCTAACCTAGGGCTACAGGGTGACTAACCTACCAGGCACCCTTTGTGGCGAGTTGTTTTTCTGTTGTCTGTGAGCGACGTCCTCCTGGCGCTGGTCTTGATTTACGACTTCCTGGCTGTTGCAACACCTTCGAGTCTGGGCCGAGCTCACATCCGCGCATGCTCGCTGTCAGCCTCTGCCCATCAGGCTCCAGCCTGTCGCCCCGCCCCGCCTCTGTGTCTGTTGGCCCAGCCTCCTCTCGCTCGCCACCCTCGCCAGCCGCCACCATGCTTCGCCGCCACCACCGCTCGTTCACTCATGCCTACTACTGTGGCCAGGAATCTCGTAGAAAAAATGGTGTGGTCTTTATAGTCAACAAGAGAGTGCAAAAGTCGGTACTGGGATACAATCTCAAAAATGACAGAATGATTTCGGTCCGATTCCAAGGCAAACCATTCAACATCACAGTAATCCAAGCCTCAATCACTGGTGCAGAAGAGGCTGAAGAGGACCGGTTCTATGAAGACCTACAACACCTCATAGAACTAACACCAAAAAATGATGTCCTCATCATCATAGGGGACTGGAATGCTAAAGTAGGAAATCAAAAGGTAACCGGAAAAACAGAGAAGTTTGGCCTTGGAAAGCAAAATGAAGCAGCAAAGGTTAAAAGAGTTTTGACAAGAGAACACACTGGTCATAGCGAACACCCTTTTCCAACAACCTAAGAGGCGACTCTACACATGGACATCACCAGATGGGCAACACCAAAATCAGATTGACTATATAATTTGCAGTAGTGACAGACTTCACGTTCCAAGAACTATGGACAGAGGTTCGTGACATCGTACAGGAGGCAGCAATCACCACCATCCCAAAGAAAAAGAAATGTAAGAAAGCAAAGTGGCTTTCTGATGAGGCTTTACAAATAGCAGAGGAAAGAAGGAAAGCGAAAGGCAAAGGCGAAAAGGAAAGATTTACCCAACTGAACGCAGATTTCCAGAGAACAGCAAGGAGAGATAAGGAGGCCTTCCTGAATGAACAGTGCAAAGTAATAGAAGAAAACAATAGAATGGGAAGGACTAGAGATCTCTTCAAGAAAGTTGGAGAAATCAAGGGAGCGTTCCATGCAAAGCTGGCCATGATAAAGGACAAAAACGGTAGGGACCTAACAGAAGCAGAAGAGATTAGGAAAAGATGGCAAGAATACACAGAAGAACTATACAAGAAAGACCTCGATGTCCTTGACAACCACGACGGTATAATCACTGACCTCGAGCCAGACATCCTGGAATGTGAAGTTAAATGGGCCTTAGAAAGCATTGCTAACAACAAAGCTAGTGGAGGTGATGGTATTCCAGTTGAGCTATTCAAAGTCTTAGAAGATGATGCTGTTAAAGTGCTGCACTCCATTTGCCAGCAAATTTGGAAAACGCAACAGTGGCCACAGGATTGGAAAAGGTCAGTATACATTCCAATCCCAAAGAAGGGCAACGCCAAGGAATGTTCAAACTATCGCACAATTGCACTCATATCACACGCTAGCAAGGTCATGCTCATGAAGCTAGGCTTCAACAGTACATGGATAGAGAACTGCCAGAAGTACAAGCTGGGTTTCAAAGAGGTAGAGGAACCAGAGATCAAATTGCCAACATTCGCTGGATTATGGAGAAAGCAAGAGAGTACCAGAAAAACATCTACTTCTGCTTCATTGACTATGCTAAAGCCTTTGACTGTGTGGACCACAACAAACTATGGCAGGTCGTTAAAGAGATGGGAGTACCAAACCACCTCACATGTCTCTTGAGAAAACTGTATAAGGGTCAAGAAGCGACAGTTAGAACCGGATATGGAACAACTGATTGGTTTCGCATAGGAAAAGGAGTACGACAAGGATGTATATTGTCACCTTGCTTATTTAATATATATGCAGAGTACATCATGCGAAATGCTGGCCTGGATGAATCACAAGCGGGAATTAAGATTGCTGGGGAAAAGATCAACAACCTCAGATATGCAGACGATACCACTCTGATGGCAGAAAGTGAAGAGGACCTCAAGAGCCTCTTGCTCAGGGTAAAAGAGGAGAGCGCAAAAGTGGGCTTGAAGCTCAACATCAAAAAAACTAAGATCATGGCATCCGGCCCCATCACTCCTTGGCAAATAGAAGGGGAAGTTGTGGAGGTAGTGACAGACTTCACGTTCCTGGGATCCCAGATCACCGCAGACTGTTACAGCACTCATGAAATTAAAAGATGCCTGCTCCTTGGGAGGAAAGCGATGGCGAACCTAAACAGCATGATAAAAAGTAGAGACATCACCCTGCCATCACCCTGCCAGCATGGTCAAAGCAATGGTATTCCCAGTAGTCATGTATGGCTGCGAGAGTTGGACTATAAGGAAGGCCGAGCGCCGAAGAATAGATTATTTTGAACTATGGTGCTGGAGAAGACTCTTGAGAGTCCTTTGGACTTCAAGAAGATCAAATCAGTCAATCCTAAAAGAAATCAACCCTGACTGTTCCCTGGAAGGCCAGATAATGAAGCTGAAGCTCAAATACTTTGGCCACCAAATGAGAAGGGAGCACTCACTGGAGAAGACCCTGATGCTGGGAAAGATTGAAGGTCAAAGAAGACGGGGACGGCAAAGGATGAGATGGTTAGATGCAACGAACATAAAATTGAGCAAACTTCAGAGGACGGCGGAAGACCGGAAGGCCTGGCGTGATCTGGTCCATGGGGTCGCGAGGAGTCGGACTCGACTGTGCAACTGAACAACGACAACAAAGGATCACAGCAGTGGAAAAAGGCTACTAGATAGGGTTGCCAGATCCCCTCTAGCCACTGGCAGGGGAATGGGGTGTGTAGGGTTTTCTGATCCATCTTGGGAAACTCCTGAAGATGTGGAGGTGGAGCCTGGGAAGGACAGGGACCTCAGTGGGGTACAATGCCACAGAGTCCACCCTCCAAAACATTCATATTTCCCAAGGGAACTGATCTCTGTAGTCTGAAGATGAGCCGTAATTCCAGGATATTCTCAGGCCCCATCTGGAGGCTGGCATCCCTCCTACTAGGAGTGAAGACTTTGGACACTGTACTTCTTTTTATTGGATGGAAATTTCATTTTCACATCCATAATTTAGTTTTGTAACATAAGCTGTTCTGTAATTTTTAGAGTGGAGCTGTGGTTTAGTGGCAGAGCATATTTCCAGATGGCAAAATCTAATCCTACTTCTTAGGCCAGTTTATCCTCACACTTGAAACCATTGTTTTTGAGAATCTAGATTTCTATATACCCATTGTGTTGTCATCCTTAATCTGATGGCCATGACCCATAATTATAGAGTTATAGTTAGAAAAGAAGGACACTAGTGAAAGAAGTGGAGACATAGGAACAATGAGAAAACACTGGCTTTTAAAAGGCTTTGTTTACTAAAAAATTCTACAGAAATAATATAATCAAGCTGCATTGCCATATGGCTCACTCAACCATATAGGTAAACTATGGTATTACTCCTTTTGAGTTGTAATCCTATGCTGTGTTACTGCTAAGTACATGATCAGGGTTCCTGTATACAAAACATTTTGCACTCTATAAATGTCATTTAATATTCATAACAGCCCTATGAAATATTTGAGACTGAGAATAAGTCAAAATTAGTCAGAGAATCTATGACTGTGAAAATAGGTGAACTGTGGTCTCCCATGTCCAATTCCTAATCTCTGCCACTTAGACCAGCCTGGCTTTCAGGATCTATGTTTAACAATCAAGGCTGGATTCATGATTATGGGCTGATCCTGGGAGTTTCTGTCTTTCCCAGACACAGCTGGCGTCCTAGAGCATTCTGTTGAAAACCTGCAGTCAGAAAGGATATATAATTAGAATGCTGATGGTATTGTGGGTTTCATACCACCTAACTAAAACCCTTTTTTAAGAAAAGAGGGGCAGTTAAGATAGTTATATAGATAGATATAGATATATAGATGCACACACACACACACACACAAGGAATCTCTAGTACATGCACATGTCTTTCACCAGTGCAGCTCTTTATATGCTTACGAGTCACAAAAAGAACATGAAATGGCTCCCTTTGTGATACCTAGGGCTGGGTTTCTGGTGAGTGATTAATAGCGCAAACAGACGCTTGAACATGCCCATCTTAGTAACTTATGCATTGGCACGACTATTATGGCCCTTTCTGCACTGACAGCTCGGAGCTTTCAAAGACTACACAGTTTTTTCTTTGCTACCTCAAGGGAAGATGTCTTGATCCCATACACCAAATGAACAACTACCCATCTACTGTGCAGCACTATAAACTGATATTCTGAAAACTCTTAAGTTTCTTGAGTGTAGTGCTCATCAGGTGCCAGGAAGTCCCCTGTGGTACACTATGATTTGATTGCCCCTTGTTCAATAGGGATGCAATAACAAGTGAAGATTCAACCCAAGAACACCCATTATTTAATACAATGATGGGAGTAATACAGCTGCAATAATTCCTGATATTTGGGAGTGATTGGAAATCTCCCTGCTTACTTTCACTTTTACAGCCAGGAGGAGGACCAGAGAGGACAGTGATTTGGCAGGTATGTGCTAGAAGTAAGTGGAAAATCTAATTAGAGTGGATTTCACAGATGAGTCTGGGCCTACCTCCTAGCTCCTGGAATGTTCATCAGACTGAATCACATTCCATTGGTCTTCAAGTGAGCAGTCCAATCTAATTTGGATTTGTAGTTTCACAGTCCAGAATTGGGCTCTAACATGTGATTCTGGCACTTACAGAAGGGTTTCTTATTGCCAGAATCACCTGACATCCCTGACAGGTGACTTTTACACTGAAAGAGCCTTCTGTAAGTGCCAGAATCACATGTTAGAGAACAGTTTCTGGGCTCTAACCAGCAATTATGACACTTACAGAACCTTCTTTAAATGCCATAACAGCACAGTTCTGCAAACACTGGGGGGAGGTAAAGGGGGAGGGGAGGAAATGGGTGGACAGAACTCTCTGTGCTCTTGGAGTTCTGTTCGACTGAATTTGTAGATTTCTTCAAAACAAATCTCCAGGAGTGAGGAGGGATTAAACTGTAAATGGGATGGAGCTCTAGGTATCATACCAGATCCGCTTCAAGGTGCTGGTTCTTACCTTTAAAGTCCTTTATGGCCAGGGACCTACATACCTTAGGGACCACGTTTCCCCATATATACCCCAGAGAGCACTGCGATTAGGGACCCAGAATTGGCTGGCTCTCCCGGGTATTAAGGAGGCCAGATTGGTGACAACTA